AAAAATTATTACGCGACTAGCTCTCGCCCGCGACTCCGTCCGAGCGGAATTACAAAAACTTAATTAGTAGTCGCGGTCGGGGGTTCGAATCCCGCCGTTCGACTATTGTCGTAAACCATATCCTAGCACAAGCCTAGAGCTTAGTTGGAATGGTAAAAGAAATATTAGTAAACTAACAAAAAAATCTGTTAATATTTTTTGTAAAAAAAAAGTCTATGTGTTCTTCCAGACTATGTTCTACATCTCTACCAAATTTTATCAACATCAATTGAGTTCCGGAGATATCTTCTAAACCTATATTAGGCAAATTAATTAATAATATTATATTATTGTAGAAACAACTAAATAAAAAAAAGTTCAACATGTTTGCGCAAACAAAAAAACTATTTAAGTACACGATTAGTAAATAAATAATAATAAAACTAATTCAAGTTATTAATTTATTTCATTTAATTATAATACATTACAAAATTATGCATCGCTAATATTCTTTAAATGAATATGAAGGAAGGAAACAATTCTAAGGTGGAATGGTTACGTGGATGTTGCGACACCGCGTCTCGCATATTAAACAGCAGGTAACTACGCATACAGACTCAGACATAGATTATTTAGTTATTGATCGATCTAGATTCTTTTATACAACCTAAAACTTTTGGTTTAGGATATCTAAGGGATGCGTTTAGGTGTAGCATTTATATTGTTATTTGACTAACATAAAGGTGGAACAACGAACTTTAGAGATATGAAAGTGAAATTTCAAAATATTAATAATGATTAAAATATAAGTAATAAAAAGTTTAATCGGTGACCACCGACCATGAGGTGACATGTCTATGGCAGAACACTTAACGCAGTCTGCCAGATAAATAACATATTTCTACGTTTCGTCTAATGAGTAAGGTCAAGAAATTCAAATTCCTATCCTATTCACTTCTTGTTCTTATCTTTCAACGAAAATTGTGTTATAAAATTTTGTTCAATTAGTAGTCCAATCTCCTTAGTTACTACTAGCTTAGTTACAATTTAATAGTTGTAATTCTCGAATAATATTAAGGCGAGGTGCGGGAAATAAATTGCAAAAGTAAAGACCGGTGTCTAGATACATATTTAGTTCTTTAAGGTCTAAAACCTAGGTACTACACAAGGAAGGTTGAAACTACAGCCTTCTTAGGTAACTCAGCCTTTTAAGATATATTTTCCGTTTTTCTTAAATTTCATAGAATATCTGCCGAAACCTTAGACCTCATACGTATATGTAGATAGGATTCTACAACTCAAAAACCTTTTCCACAACATTACGATCTACAAATTGTGGGCATAATCATTATAATAACTATTATTATCGTAAAATTTTTCAAATCGTCTACCCCAATAATAAGAGACTCCCGTAATTTTACATGATACCTTTCATGAAGGAAGAAAAACACTTGTCTATGGGATTACAGAGCGGGCCCCGTCTTCAACCGTTGTTATAATTGACGTACTTGACATGATTTTCAATAATTGCTTCACATGAATGCCTTTACACGTGGAAAACATATCGGAAAACAATTCGGATAAATGATAAATTATTTATGATATTATAGAATAGATACGTATATGTTCAGAATACTTGGTTTACGTGTTATCATTTTAACATCTTTGCATCTTTTGTTCATAATTTTGTATACGTCACATTCACATATGTACTTAATTGTTAGTTTAGCACATTTTGAGTCTAAGATCACAATGTTTTAGATAATAGCATTGATCTCTGTTTTTTTTTTCGTGTCTGTTTTTTTTTCTATCGAATCTAGGCCAATGTATCCTTTGAATGGTGCAATTCACGTGAAATAATATTACGACCACTTAATGTTTACGTAACATCCAGTTATAATATAAAAAATGTTAGAACTATTTGTCATTTTATATCGATAGTGTCAACTTCAAGAAACAGTCGAAAAAGATGGCGAATTTGTTATTTAAAATTTTAAAACGTTTTTGATGTTTAGAAACGTTCTGTACATATTTTCACGTGAACTTACTTACATATAAAAGTCCAAGAATCAGTGGAACGAGGCAGTTTCTTTGTAATATCTAGTTGCGTGGTATTAGGATACTTATTTAAAGTTTTTAATAATTGTCCGTAAAATTGAACACCCTGTTGTTCCAAAGCACACGCTCATCATTAAATATTCTTTGTTTTAATAAGACGTCACAATACTTTGTGCCTAACACCTGTTTTAATATTTTCATAATGCGTGACATTGATTCAACGACATATTTTTAAACACAAAATATCCCAGTAATAATGTTACTGTAAAAATTTAGGATACCAAAAGGTTACTGTAATAAATTTCCAAGAAGTTTTAACAATAAATTATCTAATTAGGCTAACACTAAGAAGGTTCTGAAGATAATAAATAAATTGTCCAAGATTTTTTTTATAAAATAATTTTAATTAGTACGTATAGAAACAGAAAGTAATATCCAACTTGATTATTAGTGAAAGTCTGTACCGTTTTCAAAGTGGCCTAGAACAAACTATGAAAAAAAAACAGCCGCAGTGTACGATAGTAATCGTTAGAAATGATAAAACCTTTTTGTACATTTTAATATTTATTTATTATCACTCTTATAAGAAAAAGTAATGTCCAATATCAAAACTCCAAAGTACAAAAACTTTCAGCCCGGAAAATACGAAAAGCATTTAAAGCTGCGAACTATTTATAATATATTTCTAAAATACGAAGCATGTTATGTAAAAATAGATTATTTTGCATTTTTTCTACATTTTTAATTCGGATGTCAAAAACTGGGCTAACGAGTTTATGATAGTGACCAAATATTGACATTTAGTTGACATTTAATGATGGCCATCGCTGCGTTATTTGACATTAACATATTACACGTGCAAGTTAATAATGTAACGGTAGTTGGAGTTTAATTTAACACGCTGACTCCGGAACGTACGGAATGGTCAAATAGCCCTTATCTTAAACTTCTTGATGATGTCTATGGACAGCAGTCGCTGGTGAGTTTGCCACCTTATAATACAAAAAAAAACATAAACTTATACTAACGTTTTAACACCATAAAAACATAATTTAATATGAGTACAGCGTTCCACGTGACACTTCATTATAAATACATACCTACTAGATTCATCCTTTCTTTCATACTTTCTTCAAAGTTCATTAGAGTACCCGGTACTATAGAGTACCGCAGTTCGCGTCATTAAAGTGCAATCATGCTTTTTAATTTCTATTACATTTTTGCACGTCATAAAGTTGTGTGAGCAGAACACACACTATCGTCAATGAACCAAATGTAGCGGCCTTCAGTCGCATAACCGAGCCCAAATACTTTCACCATGCTTAGCGCCGTTACCCCAATTAAAATTAACACATTGTTGTACTGGTATAGTATTGATTACGTAATGTAGACTAGAACATGATAAAACAAACTAAACAATTCTTTTAAATAATTATCATGAAGTTTACCCTCAAACAGCAGACAAGAAAAAAAACAAAGTCCAGATTTTTCATGTTTTTTTACCCCAAAGGTAACAATGGTTAGAAACTACTGCATTATAAACTACTAATAATATAATTTATTAAGAATGTATGGAGTTTATTTACAAGTAGTGGTTTAAAATAGAG